TTTGACTGTGTAAAACCTAGCAGTACTACTTATTTCTCTGAGAGTGAGGCTGATATGAAGCATTTTGCAAAAAAACATTAAATGAAACCATCAAGTGATAGATTTTAAACAAATATATGTCTGTCATTGAACAACCCCATGCCATGATTAGATAGTGAAAAAACACCAAATTCTTTCCTAATTTCTTTAAACAATACAACCCTATTTACCAACAATGGATATATAGTGTTTTGGAATGAAACTATTCATTTCTAGATTCGACTACCAGACACTGGCGTTGGCGTTCACTTAATATATACTGAACAAAAATATAAACACAACATGCAACAATTTCAAAGATTTTACTGAGTTACAGTTCATATAAGGAATCAGTCTATTTAAATGAATTAATTAGGCCCTAATCTATGGATTTCACATGACTGGGAATACAGATATGCATCTGTTGGTCACAGATACCTTAAAAAAAAAAGTAGGGGCGTGGATCAGAAAACCAGTAAGTATCTGGTGTGACCACCATTTACGTCATGCAGCACGGCACATCTCCTTCGCATAGAGTTGATCAGGCTGATTGTGGAATGTTGTCCCACTCCTCTTCAATGGCTGAGCAAAGTTGCAGGATGTTGGTGGGAACTGGAACACGCTGTCCTACACGTCGATCCAGAGCATCCCAAACATGCTCAATGGGTGACATGTCTAGTGAGTATGCAGGCCATGGAAGAACTGGAATATGTTCACCTTCCAGGAATTGTGTACAGATCCTTGCAACATGGGGCCGTGGATTTTTTAATTTCTTCATTATCATGCTGAAACAAGAGGCGATGGCAGCGGATGAATGGCACAACAATGGGCCTCAGGATCTCGTCACGGTATCTCTGAATATTCAAATTGACATCAATAAAATGCAATTGTGTTCGTTGTTCGTAGCTTATGCCTGCCCATACCATAACCCCACCACCACGGAGGACTCTGTTCACAGCGTTGGCATCAGCAAAACGCTCGACCACACTACGCCATACACAATGTCTGCCATCTGCCCGGTACAGTTGAAACTGGAATTTATCCTTGAAGAGCACACTTCTTCAGCGTGCCAGTGGCAATCGAAGTTGAGAATTTGCCCACTGAAGTCGTTTTCGACACCAAACTGCAGTCAGGTCAAGACCCTAGTGAGGACGACGAGCACGCAGATGAGCTTCCCTGAGACGGTTTCTGACAGCTTGTGCAGAAATGTTTCAGTTGTGCAAATCCACAGTTTCATCAGCTGGTCTCAGAAGATCCCGCAGGTGAAGAAGCCAGATGTGGAGTCCTGGGCTGGCGTGGTTACAAGTGGTCTGCGGTTGTGAGGCCGGTTGGACATATTGCCAAATTCTCTAAAATGATGTTAGAGGCAGCTTATGGTAAAGAAATTAATACTCAATTCTCTGGCAACAGTTCTGGGTGACATTCCTGCATTCAGCATGCCAATTCCACGCTCTTTCAAAACTTGAGACATCTGGGGCATTGTGTTATGTAACAAAACTGCACATTTTAGAGAGGCCTTTTATTGTCCCCAACACAAGGTGCACCTGTGTAATGATCATGCTGTTTAATCAGCTTGTTGATATCCCACACCTGTCAGGTGGAAGGGCTATCTTGGCAAAGGAGAAATGCTCACTAAGAGGGATGTAAACAAATTAGTGCACAACATTTGAGACAAATAAGCTTTTTGTGCATATGGAACATTTCTGGGATATTTTATTTCAGCTCGTGAAACATGGGACCAACACTTTACATGTTGAGTTTATATTTTTGTTGAGTATATAAACCACAATGTTTGATGGGATTAGCAATAGCGTAGTCAGGTTAGCAAGACATGATTGTACCACACAATCAGTCCGTTTGTGTGGAAACAAATGTAGGAAAATGTCCTGACACACATCGTCACAGCAAAGAAGCGGCGAAGCTCATGGGCTTATACTGAAGAATAACAGTTTTTTTGTTTCTTGCCATGGATTTATAAAAACAATATTGGCCTATCAATATACACTTTGATGCTGTTTCATGGTGAGGTGAAAATATATCACGTGCAATGGGATCCAATGGCACTTCCTGTCTCTTATGCTACAACTTTGTTAACTAAAACACCTTTTTATTTTCCTCATACTCAGCTAGGAGGGCCACAAAAACCATTGTCTCCGTGTAGAGTTGCATCATGTGAAGGAAGCAAGAAAGGAAGTGTTTGTGCAGATGAAAATAGTATAGTGGGTATGAGAAGTATAACTTATATGTCCTGGGTTCAGATAGTGTTAATAAGCCCAAATAGGAGTGACAAGGTATGCTGTAGAGGCATTGGTAAGAAGCTCATTGACATCCATGGAGCAGCTGTGGCAAGGCTGAAGTGGAGATTAGGCCAGATTCAGCAGCCTTGATCTCTCCAGTCGAGGCTTAGGTCTGGAAAATAATCACACAATCCTCCCAGTTACTCACAACCGAACGGAGTGAGGAGAGAGAGAGAGAGAGAGGGAGAGAGAAGGAGAGAATCAGAACGAGAAAGAGCATGAGAGAGTAAGAGATTTGGGAGAATAGAGAACAGAGAGAGACCTAGTCTTTTTATGTGCATTCTCCTTAAGATTGTATATGTCTGCAGCACCGTTTAATAGGCTTGCATTGTTGAGAGCACGTCTCGTTGCCACACGCTGTCTGGACTGAGAGTGTGACTGAGCTTTACGAACAACACAAAGCTAATCAGAAGGCTTTCACTCTCCGAGCAGATTTAACCTGCGGGATGCTCACTGGTTTCGTGTATAGAGACCCTAATAGTCCTCATACAATACCACTTTCATGGATGTGAACATATATAAGTCAGTAAACCAAAGTCTCTCATTAGATGCTAGGGGTGAAAGGGGATGTGATGCAGAGGGAGATACCCTATAGAATAATAGCATTCTTAACAAGCAATATAGCTGGTGTTGGTTGACCTCATTCTGCAATTAAGTTGTTTAGATTTGAACTCACCCTTGCATCTTGGGCCTCTGTGCCTTGAATGAGAACACGAACAAGACTAGAATAGAGTGTGTCAGTGTCATCTAAGGGACATGGGAGGGTTAGTGGCCCCGGAACACTCACATCTATAGCCATGAAATGCTTTGAAAGGCTGGTCATGGCTCACATCAACACCATCATGCCAGACACCCTGGACCCACTCCAATTCGCATACCGCCCTAACAGAGCCACAGATGACACAATCTCTATTGCACTCCACACTGCCCTCATCCACCTGGAAAAAAGGAATACCTATGCAAGAATGGTGTTCATTGACTACAGCTCAGCATTCAACACCATAGTTCCCTCCTAGCTCATTACCAAACTCAGGACCCTGGGACTGAACACCTCTCTCTGCAACTGGATCCTGGACTTCCTGACGGGCCACCCCCAGGTGGTGAGAGTAGGCAACAACACATCTGCCACAATCACCATCAACACAGGGCCCCTCATGGGTGTGTGCTTTGTCCCCTCCTGTACTCCATGTTCACCATCGACTGCGTGGCCGCGCACGACTCCAACACCATCATCAAGTTTTCTGAAGACACGTCGGTGGTAGGACTGATCACAGACGGGGATGAGACAGCCTACAGGTAGGAGGTTAGAGACCTGGCAGTGTGGTGCCAGGACAATAAACTCTCCCTCAACGTCAGCAAGACAATGGAGCTGATCGTGGACCTCCGGAAACGGAGGGCCGAGCATGCCCCCATTCACATCGACACGGCTGTAGTGGAGCAGGTCGGGTGCTTCAAATTCCTCTGTGTCCACATCACTAAGGAATTAACATGGTCCACACACACCTACACAGTTGTGAAGAGGGCACGACAACGTCTCATCCCCCTCAGGAGGCTGAAAAGATTTGGCATGGGCCCTCAGATCCTCAAAGAGTTTTACAGCTGCACCATTGAGAGCTTCTTGACTTGCTGCATCACAGCTTGGTACGGCAACTGCAAGGCACCCGACCGCAAGGCACTACAGTGGATGGTGAGTAGGGCCCAGTACATCACTGGGGCCAAGCTCCCTGCCATCCAGGACCTCTATACCAGGCGGTCTCAGAGGAAGGCCCAAAAGATTGTCAAAGATTCTTGCCACCCAAGCCATAAGACTGTTCTCTCTGCTACCGCATGGCAAGCGGTACCAGTGCACCAAGTCTGGAAACAAAGGGCCCTTAACACACACACTGAACTCTACCCACACACTCACACATACTTACACTGACACCCCAACACACACACACACACAAAACATGCGCTCACATGCATACTGGTGCCACACAAACACACACACACACTTTCACAATCACTACCTATGCTGCTGCTACTGTCTATTATCTATCCTGTTGGCTAGTCACTATACCCCTACCTATATGTACATAGCTACCTCAATTTCCTCGTACCCCTGCACATCAACTCTGTACTGGTACTCCCTGTATAACCATGTTATTTTTACTCATTATTGTTATTCGTTATTCACTGTGTATTTATTCCTCATGTTACTGTTTCTATTTTAATTTTGTATCTTTATATTTAACTCTGCATTGTTGGAAAAGGACACGTAAGTAAGCATTTCACTGTTAGTCTACACCTGTTGTTAACAAAGCATGTGACAAATAACATTTGATTTGGTTTGACTTAGGTATTTGAGTTTTTGTGTTTACTGAAAGTTTGCTGAAAAAATAGCAATGTCTGGTTCTGGTATGATCTGTTGCTCACTTCAGCTGATTTGCATTGACCCATTTCATTTGGAGGTTTTCATTCGTTTCCTACTCTATACACAGTACTAAGCACCTGTTCCCCCATCCTTTCTTTTCATTTGCCTCTGTAGTTATAGTTTACCTTGGTAGTAATGTATAAACAGACAAATGTTTTCTATGGATCAAATTACTTCAGCTGTAATACGAGGATTTATTAAGCATTTTGGAATGCTAAGATGACATTGGTGCTGACATCCCATGCTCAGTTAGAGGTGGTGGCTTAGCACACATGCAGGTGGCAGCGGGCACTGCAAAGTGGGACACTTTGTATCTGGTGTGTGTGTTTGTGTGCAGCTTTGCTCAATCTCCCCATTCACACCAGGATGATAGGTGCTAAGGGTCCAGGGTGTGAAACTGCAGGGGTCAAGCGGTGGGAGCCAAACATCAGCCACTGACACGTCCTATCGGAGTTTGATCCACCGTGTCAGGGATAGAGTAAAGCCGTACTTCTTACACAACCTCTTATAGAAGACTACTGGTCTTGAAAAGTTATAGTATTGGATTGTTTCTTACAGAATGGTGTTTTTCAGTGGATTGAGGACATTAATTAAGTTTTTTTTTGGCTTATTGCGTGGAAAATATAATGTTTAATATATTATTTCAAAGATCAAACACAATTAAACCTGCTCTCGGTTCGACTTCAGTACAAAACAAATGAAGTGCTTATTGATTTGTACTTTGCGAATCTTTTGATTTTCTCTCCGCTAATTTCAAAGTCTTTGGTAAACCTCAGCACATGTACTGTAATTATCCTGTGATTGATTATATTGGTCTAAGGTCTAAGATATCGTGAGTCTAGAAACTCTGCTATGAGTCATCAAGGCTTACGCCTTATGAAAGGTGTAATCTTCAATATATCTTCAATATCTACCGAACTCACACAAAGTCACTGTCCTTGGCGCCTGGCCTCTCAATTAGAGAAAAGGGTCTATATTAACTAAAGAATCACAAACCTATTGTTTGAAACATATCCTCATATGGGCGGCAGGTAGCCTAAATGGGTGGCAGGTAGCCTAGCGGTTAAGGGCGTTGGGCCAGTATTTGAAAGATCACTGGTTCGAATCCCTGAGCCGACTAGGTGAAAAAAGTATGTTGATGTACCCTTGAGCAAGGCACTTAACCCTAATTGCTCCAGGGTCGTTGCCAATAATGGCTGATCCCTGGCTGTGACCCAACTCTCTGAGGGTGTCTCAGGGGGAGTGGGATAGGTAAAAAAAAAAGAATCCTAATAGGACAAATGTTATCACCATTATTATTATATCCATAAAAGGTATAATAAAGTAGAATTCCACCAACGGACCTTCCCATTGCTTCTGAAATATAAATCTATTTGATTTGCATTGTCAGGTAGCATGGTTCTGCAGAGTGTCTTTTGATATTTAGAATAAAAGTCGCCTGGTTTTCAACCTTCCCAAGTTCTCCCATGTCACCCCGCTCCTCCACACACTCCGCTGGCTTCCAGTCGAAGCTCGCATCCACTACAAGACCATGGTGCTTGCCTACGGAGCAGCAAGAGGAACTGTCCCTCCCTACCTTCAGGCTATGCTCAAACCCTACACCCCAACCCGAGAACTCCGTTCTGCCACCTCTGGTCTCTTGGCTCTCCAACCTCTACGGGAGGGCTGCTCCCGCTCAGCCCAGTACAAGCTCTTCTCCCCCTTCTAGCACAGACTTTGCTGATAACTACTATATTGAGGAAAAGTGTACTTTCTATGCCTGTAATATATGGTTGTCCCACCTAGCTATCTTAAGATGAATGCACTAACTGTAAGTCGCTCTGGATAATAGCATCTGCTAAATGACTAAAATGTTAAATGTAAAAAAAGTGAGTCCTCTGCCCTCCCTCAGTGGGCTGGTCACACTGTGAAGTCTGGAATAGATGACATGCTCAGTGGAGAAAAACCCATAGGTAGGAAAGCTTCTGTAGGATTTGTTTTTTCAAGGCTTCTCACCACCTGCAGAAGTTTACTTTATCTTGTGTGAGCGTGTCAACATGGTCTCTTTCCTTTGTGAGTTTTGTAAGTATTAGATTGATAAAGTAAGTGACTAGAAGTGCATCAATCTTCCATTGACAGAAATAGTGAAGGCCATTGCCTGCCTTTCTCTAGAAAGCTGAAGTGTAATTAACTTTAGAAAGCAACAAGGCTCCATCTTCCTCCCCTGTAATATTATCAGCAGTATAATTGATGACCTAGATATTCCAAAAAGATGTCCCTCTCAAATTACTGAAGCGAAAGTATGAAAATGCCTTGTTTTGAGATTAATGAACCTGCACGGGGACCGTCTTCCACTTTAAATTAAATTCTTAAAGATCCATTATTCAAATGGTGTTGTGTCCAAGTCAGAGGGAGATAATGGTGTGTCCTCTTGATTGCAACATAGCTGCATCAAACATGCCGTGCCCCAAACATGGAGCATACTCTTTAATGGGGAATATGTAGATGGGTAAATAATAATCCTCTGACTTCATCACTCTTCCCTGTCTACTCCTTCCTGTATGATACTGCATTAGGCCATTTTATTAAAGCATGAAATACAGTGTATTATACTGTGTAATTAAAATATCCATAACACACACCATCCTAGTTAGTTGTATAGCTAAATGCTCTGCTTGCGTCTATGTGCTAGTGTAGTGAGGCATGTGTTAAACTCAGTCCATTACATATGTAGTTTAATTGGCAGTATATGGTTGGTTCAGGGGTTCTATAACTACGCTAACCTTAACCTCGTCCTCATGTGAATACTGCATATGCCTTGCTACATTACTTCTGAGTGTATGTATTTTGTCTCGCAACATTTTTAGAACATTTGGCTCCACATCAACAAGGTCAGGATGTGTTGTGGTGTAGTCATGGTACCCTAACAAGCATGCAAGTCAAACAAGGCACAATTGGTTGGATTCCTCCAGCCAATGCCAAGGCCAGAATTCCAAGGCTGTGTTTCTAGAGGCGTCTGAGCAGAGAGAGAGAATGTCTAGCCAGTGCTCGAGTGCTGCAGAGTCGGATTCTAATCACTCTAATCATGATTCAAAAGCATGGATGAAAATTAGCCAATAAAGTGGCTTTTGAGGAAAATAATTTGGTAATGCCAGGGGCTAGCCCAAATGAGCTGTTGAGTAACTTTCTCTGCAAAGGGATTTAGAAGTTTTGGAGAGTATGTAGACCCTGATAATTATGCTGCTGTGTAACATGACTGACTGTTGGTTGAGGCATAGTGCTTGCAACACCAGGGTTAATGGTTTGATGTTTGCATGGGCGACCTACTGAACATAAATGTGTTAAATAAATGTAAGTTGCAATGGATAAAAGTGTTATGCTAAATTACAATATAACATACCTCTTCTGTGCAGGCACAGTTCTGGTGGAGAATATGCAGATCAACGGGAGAGCAGAGGACCCAGACAGGACCATCTCGCTGATCCTGCTTGACAACTATGCCTACTGGGTCATCCTGGATCCCCTCAGACAGAGACTGTTCCTCAACAGCACCGGACGTGTCCTGGACAGAGATGTGAGTATGGACTTGACGCCAGGTTGGGTTGGGTTGGGTTACTGTAGTTAGTAGAGGCAAAGGGTTTTACATAAAAAAAATTGAAACACAAATACAGACACACTTGCCTACACACACACACGGATCCACTGATACTTAAATTGTATGCAATCACATTGTAAGCTTTCCAAATCGCATTGATATTCCAAGTATTTTTTAATCATAATTATTATAATATTTTTTTTGGGGGGGGGGGGGCTGCTGCTGCATGCTGGAAATGGTCGTCAAGAAATCATAAATGTTTGACTGTTTTTCACAACGAGAACAGTTTGGCCACTGTAAATACTGGTTTCAAAACAGGTCCAAGAAAGCTTGAAGCACTAGACAGATCCCACTGTTTTGAGGCTCCTGGATTGACTGCACTGCAATTTCCTCATTGTAAGGAAAAATCTGTTCTGTTGGATTGATTTGAAACCACTGGCTTGGAGCCCATTCACCACTTCTCTGTTCAGAGTCTGTTATGGTGTCTACAGATTGTAACTGTAAAATCCCGGGACACTGTGAGGTAGAAAAGCGTTCTTTCTGTGGTTGTGTCGGAAACATTTGGAACTAATCATCTACTGAGTGCTTTCGAGCAGTGTGACAATGTATTTTTTATGATGATTACATAATCATCAGTTTATTGATTGGTTTATTGAATTGGTTGATTGATTTCTTGTATCTCTTTCTCGCTCTTTCTCTTGCGCTCTCTCTCTCTATCTCTCTGTCTCTCTCTCTCGCTCTCTTTCTCACCCTCAGCCCCCCTCCTCTATCACTACAATCGTGGTGAAGGTCCAGTGCACCAGTGAGCTGGTTGGGACAGTGATTCTCCACGAGGTCCGCATTGTAGTCAGGGACAAAAACGACAACACACCTCGCTTTCAGCAGCCGCGCTACTATGTGGCCATCAACGAGGTGAGAGAGAGAAAGAGTTACTACAACAGTTGTTGCTTTTTGCTTTAGTGAGCATTTCTTTCTCCCCTGGGTAAGTAATTCAGCCTGGCATGACCCTTCCCACAGAGGTCAGCAAAACCCAGAGGCCTTACAGAAAGTGACTCCTATACTGACTACTGTTGAAGCAATTATGTAGTACATTCATGCTTCATTCTTTCAAATACAAAGAAAGGTCAAGGTTTGGTCGTCATTGAAATGAAGGACCTACATAGTTAGAGTCAAAGCTTTGTTGATGTAGGAACAGTGGAATAGAGTGTAGACTATGCTACTCTGCAGCAACAGGAGTATTCTGCACTGTGTTCCTTCATCTTTTTTATCTCTGTTTTTTACTCTGTTATGCCTTCTGCACGGAGACAGAGTAAAACATGACAACAGCTATTCTACGCATGTTAGGCACCATCTTCCCAGGATAACAAAACAATAGCAGATCCTCAGATCTCCAGGATATCTGTTCTTCCTCTAGTGCATGAAATTGCTCTGACGCATGGATGGTAGCACGCTAGTTATGCATTCCCAGTGAATCATGGGGTTCCTGTCTGTGTGCTCTGCGTGATATAGATGTCACCATACTCCCTGTCTGCCCCAGAGAGCTCAACAATGATGCTTTTGACTAACATCATCAGCTCAGTGTGTGTGAGTGTGTGTGTGTGTGTGTGTGTGTGTGTAATATCCAATGTAAATAGGTATGCTAGTGTGTGCATGTTTTATTTAAAACAAAGTGATAGCTGCGTGAGTCAGTACTCTCCCTACCAATCCAAACAGAGAGCACAGTGGAATATCAACGGGTGGGTCTAATGCTAATTAGTTAAAACTGCAGTTCCAGCCGGTGTCTTTTCCACAAGTTACCACCGGCTAAATCTATGACGTTAAAATGCCTATTTACTCTGTTCCATCTGACTGCACAATCCACTGTCTCGTCAGCCAAGCCAGGCAATTTATAAACTTGATCTCCACTATTAAATGCATCTAGACATTATCTCACATTTCTTTCAGACTAACATTTAGTTTTCAACAGCGGAGATTTGTATAAACATTGCTGTCTGTCTCTCCGACATTTGCAACATTGTTTCAATATTCAAATTCCATCTCCCCCAACTAATGAACGTGTCGGGAGTCAGAATGAGACAGACAGGCAGGCAGCTTTTCTCAGCCAGTTGAAATCAAGAATCAGCATCATTTTTATGGATATTTACAAAGAAATGTCAATAGAAAACAGGTAAAACAAAACCAAGTGCAGCTAGTTTGCAGTCTTTCCAGCTTCAGTTTGAAGTGATTATGTTAGTTGTGTTGTTGGCGAGCTCCTCTGAACAACAGTGTTCTGACAAGAGATCACATTTTCTATGCCAGGTGAAATTGCGCATCATTAGCTCATTGTTATGGATGTATCCAAATAAATGTCACTAGAAACAGCTTAAACAAATGCAAATGCAGCTACTTTGTTGTTATTCTGGCTGCACTGTTTGACGTGACTGTAAGTTACCCGTAGTTGGCTAGCTAGCAAGCAAGGGATAAGAACGTTGCCAGCCAATATGGCAATAGAACATTTACAACGAAAGACTGGGTTCCGTCTCTGGCAACCAAACCGATAGAACGAACAACCAGCCGGCTTGGGTAGCAACCCTAGATTTGTGTCGGGACTATATCTTGTGGAAGGATTAAATAGTATGAATAAATTCTTTAAAATAACGTTTTTAATGAAAATATGTTAATCATTATTTGAATATGTTGGTAACCCGTTGTATAAAAGTGACAATTCCCCCGAAGCCGGTGTTTGGAGGATATATTGGCACGGTTAACAACACCCGTGCTAATATATCCTCCAAACACCGGCTTCTCAGGCATTGTCACTTAAATGTTTTGTGTTAGGCATCACTGTGTTTAGTATAATATGTCTAATCAAAAACAGCCAGTGATATCTACACCTATAGCAAATTGACTTTTGTCTGCATTTTGCATATATATTTTTTTTTTTACCACAAACTGTTATCTACCTATGTTAGAAAGAAACTTACATTTTTACCAAAAGGTCTGCAGAACTGAACAAACAAGCTAATTATGTGGATACAGTACATGCATACACCTTTGAAGATTGATTTTAATCTCCTACATTTGCTGATATAGCTCGCTGAAATTACCATAGTTCTCATCCATCATATCTCACAGCTGTCAGAGGAAAATAGAAGTTATAGTTCAATACATTTCATTTAATATTGAGTGTCGCTGACAAATACACTAGCTCTTCCTCTGTTTCTCTTTTCCAAAATGTCATCACTGTACAACTACAATACATTAATGACACTAGACATGTCTTATTACAGATGTTGGATCTTAATTTCAGCCAGTTTGCAACAGCATGATAAGAATCCTGCAGCAACAGGAAATATAAACTATTATGTGGATTATAATTAATGGACATTTTTGTAGGGGTTGATACATTTTTCAATAGGGCAAATCAAGTCTGAAATTTCAAAGTGGAAATTACTAACTTTAGAAGGCTTTTTAAACCTCAAATACACTTACAATTTGCAGGAAAAATTCTCAGCAAAAAAAGTGAACAAATGAAGATCCTACATCTGTAAGACGCCTGTATTGAGAGCCTCCGAGTCAGACAACCATGACTTTTGTCTCATTTGTTGACACTTCCTATGTTCTTCACACTAAGTACCTGTCAGTGTGTGTTATCCCAGGAAACATTACTCCCTGAACAGTGTTCTGAATCAGACTCCACTGCTGTCAAACCTCTCCTGAACTGAGCTCAACTCCCCTCGGGCCCCCAGGTGCTTTAGAACACAGCTCTCTGGAGGCCCCTCTCTCTGCAGCATCTCTCTGAGAGGTTGCTATGGCTGTCAGTGGGGTGCAGAGGCCCTCAGAGAGAAATATTCATCCATGGCTGCTGACGACAATGTTTTCAGTTCAAATCAGTGCATTCATTCACTCTTCCTAACAACAAAGGTCTCCACTTCTCGCACTTCTGGCAGTATTTGGCCATCTTCTATAGAAGACACTGTGTTCCTGCGATCTTGGGAGGGGTCAGTAATATCAGTGAGATGTAGCATATAAAGTTGTTACAATGTCCAGACAGAGGGACATGCCTGTTGACAGTATTCTTTCTCAATCTCTGCCTCCAGCTCACTCCTGCCGGGACCACCATATTCACAGGCTTTAGTGGAGACAACGGGGCCACAGACATCGATGACGGGCCCAACGGACAGATAGAATATGGCATCCAGTACAACCCCAACGACCCAGTACGTGGATGTAATGCTTACTGACTGCAGATTGTGACTTAATGAAGCTATACGACAATGGGACAGTGGAACAGTGTCTGTTGTCAATTAAACCTATGACTGAACACTGTCTGTATCTCACTCTCACTCCCCCCCACCCTCTCTCTCTCTCCCTCTGTCTCTCTCTCTCTCTCTCTCTCACACACTCTCTCTCCCTTTCTGTCTTTCTTTCTCAGGTGTCTAATAAAACTGTGGTTGTAGGCAATACTCTCTCTGGGAACATTGTTCTGGCTGAGAGACTAAATTACGAAGAGAAAACACGCTACCTGGTCATTGTTCAAGCCAATGTGAGACACTTTGCCATTTTCTTTGTTTGTTTGTGTGCTCCAGAAGTGTGTATGTGCATACATTTGTGTGTGTGTGTGTATGTGCATACATTTGTGTGTGTGTGTGTGTGTGTGTGTGTGTATGCATGTGTGTTTGTGCAGATTAAATATGAATGAACAATATTTTTTACTTGGTGTCATGGTAGTGAACTGACAGTGAAAGTTTTTGAATGTTTAGGACTTGAGGGTTCATGGATCTGTTTGTTTTCTACCCTGGCAAAATAATGGATTGGCGTTTTGCAAGGTTTTGGACTGAATGGTTGGTTTAGGGACTTGTTTTGTCCAAAGTGTTAAGTGCTGATGTTTAGAATATAGGGTAAATTACTGATTGTTACTTTGATTGGTTTATGCTTTATTAAGTTTGCCATCGTCAGATAAACCAAAACCTTACTACACTGAACAAAAATATAAACGCAACATGCAACAATTTAAAAGATTTTTCTGATTTACAGTTAATATAAGGAAATCAGTCAATTGAAATACATTAATTAGGCCCTAATCTATGGATTTCACATGACTGGGAATACAGATATGCATATGTTGGTCACAGATACCTTCAATAAAAAGGTAGGGTCGTGGATCAGAAAACCAGTCAGTATCTGGTGTGACCACAAGTTGCCTTATGCAGCGCGACACATCTCCTTCGCATAGAGTTGATCAGCCTGTTGATTGTGGCCTGTGGAATGTTGTTCCACTCATTTTTAATGGCTATGCAAAGTTGCTGGATATTGTCGGGAACTGGAACATGCTGTCGTACACATCAATGCAGAGTATCCCAAACATGCTCAATGGTTGACATGTCTGGTGAGTATGCAGGCCATGGAAGAACAGGGATATTTTCAGCTTCCAGGAATTGTGTACAGATCATTGCGACATGGGGCGTGTATTTTCATGCTGAAACATGAGGTGATGGCGGCGGATGAATGGCACGACAATGGGCCTCAGGATCTCGTCACGGTATCTCTGTGCATAAAAATTTCCATTGATAAAGTGCAATTATGTTCATTGTCCGTAACTTATGCCTGCCTATACCATAACCCCACCGCCACCATGGGGCACTCTGTTCATCAGGAAACCGCTCACCCACACGACGCCATACACACTGTCTGCCATCTGCCCGGTACAGTTGAAACCGGGATTCATCCGTGAAGAGCACACTTCTCCAGCGTGCCATTGGCCATCGAAGGTGAGCATTTGCCCACTGAAGTCAGTTATGAAGCCGAACTGCATTCAGGTCAAGACCCCGGTGAGGACGACGAGCACGCAGATGAGCTTCCCTGAGACGGTTTCTGACAGTTTGTGCAGAAATTCTTTGGTTGTGCAAACCCACAGTTTTATCAGCTGTCCGGGTGGCTGGTCTCAGACGATTCCGCAGGTGAAGAAGCCGGATGTGGAGGTCCTGGGCTGGCGTGGCTACACGTGGTCTGCAGTTGTGAGGCCGGTTGGACATACTGCCAAATTCTCTAAAACGACTTTGGAGGCGGCTTATGGTAGATAAATTAACATTACATTCGCTGGCAACAGCTCTGGTGGACATTCCTGCAGTCAGCATGCCAATTGCACGCTCCCTCAAAACTTGAGACATCTGTGGCATTGTGTTGTGTGACGAAACTGCACATTTTAGAGAGGCCTTTTATTGTCCCCAGCACAAGGTGCACTTGTGTAATGATCATGCTGTTTAATCAGCTTCTTGATATGCCACATTTTTCAGGTGGATGGAATATCTTGGCAAAGGAGAAATGCTTACTAACAGGGATGTGAACAAATTTGTGCACAACATTTGAGAGAAACACGCTGTTTGTGCGTTTGGAACATTTCTGTTTTTTTTTATTCAGCTCATGAAACATGGAGCCAACACTTTACATGTTGCGTTTGTATTTGTTGTTCAGTGTAGTTAGCTATTCGTTGCTACTGAAAGAAAATGTACGTAATTGGAAGGAAAGATAGCAGCTGTTGCAGATTACACGTTTGCAATTAAAGTACAAAGCTTTTCTACAAAGCATTTGTTTATTCATAAATGAAAGCATCAGCCTCTATACACTTTGATTGTTTGATTGTTTTTAATTCATTGCTTGACTGACATGGTTTTCTAATCCTAGAATAAAAGCAACACTATGATCATTGATTTGTTGTGGTTATGTAGAATTTTGTGTTCTGTATTATGAAAGGATAGAGACAGCTCCTCATCAAGAGACCATTGTTTATTCCTTCACAAGAAACAAATCCACAAACAAACAACTTTTCAACTAATAGTTACATAACCCATAATTACTTTTAGTCTAGAACTACCTAACTGAAAGGTCTGTCCCTTTTTCCAGTTTCCATTACTATTTATTTCCAAATTTGCGAAATGACTCCAGGCTCTCTTTGGAGCTCTGTCAGATAACTGTTCATAGGCTAACAGCCTAACATATCAGGATGTATTTAATTAGAACTTTTACAAGAGGAAGGGCAGTGGCTCCCAGACTCCCAGCAGGCCACATGAGGGAGGGAGAGATATTGGAAATCAAGTGGCGCTAATGAGACTGGTTTAAATGCTTGGGGTTTTAATAAATGTATTTTTATAAAAGCTGTGGTAGGCCGTGCCTATTACTCCAGGTCATTAGCTGTGAAGAGTCCCTGACAAGGATTATGAATCTGGCACTGTAATGCTACCAGTGACAGGATGGTATTTTAAGTATGGCGATGGTACATGAATATGTATTTCTCAACACATTATGCTCACTAAAATTACAAAGTTGATCATGGAATTGAAAAGAGAAATTGGTCTCTTGATTGATTGATGTTGATGATATTTTAATGTGTTGTTAATTAATGGCTTTGGTAAGTAACCATGTTGACTTGCATCCTACAGGATCGTGCCCCGTACGATGCCAATAGGCGGACCGCTACGACCACGCTGACCATAGACGTTCTGGATGGAGATGACCTGGGCCCCATGTTCCTGCCCTGTGTCCTGGTCAACAACACCCACGACTGCAACCCTGTCACCTACCGTGTCACCATACCAGAGTTCACCAAACCGGTACAAACCACACTGTGTGTGTGTGTTTTTGGTTTTGCTATCCTGGGTATCAGAAGTCCTCACAAAGATAGTAAAACAAGGACATTTCACCGGTCCCCACAAGGAAAAAGGCTATTTTAGACTATGGGGTTAGGTTGAGGGTTACGGTTAGGGATTAGGCTTTGTGCGTGTGTAAGCGAACAGGTAGTGAGTGAGTGAGTGAAGGAGTGAGTGTGTGTTTGTGTGCAACTGCAACCCCTTCATCTCCCGTGTGTATTGGAAATAGCCCATGCTGAGGATTGAACCAGTAGTCAGGCAGGTGATGATATGACAAGTGCGTATGTCATCAGTCACAGCGCTACACTGGCACAGACCACCACTACGCTGGCAGTACAGCATGGCAGGAAGTAAATGCCACATCTCTGTGTGTGTGTGTACCTCACCTAGAGGCTGTTTTGTCTCAGCATGGTCGTTTAAAAGCATTTTCTGGTCTGGTGGAACATCAATTACAGCTGAAGTTTGAGTCAGCTTCAGACTAAAAACACCAGCTGAATTCCAATCAAAAAGCGAGAGAGATTGATATAGCTTTGGGAGGAAATGTAGAGCAGAAAAGAGAGGGAGAGAGGGGTGGGGGGAGTCTGACTGAGGGATAGAGAGAAAAGGAAGGGCCCTTATGAGTCCTGGGAGGTAGTCACCAACTACAGCGTCAAACTGAGATTGGAGTTACAGTACGTGACAGTCCCATGTGTTTTTTGACGATGGACCTCTTTGTCTTCTCTACTCACCCTGTGTCACTGGGTCCCTGAGGGACAGATGGAGGGAGAAGGAGAGAGTTAGAGAGAAATACTTAAAAATATGGTGATGGTGACTGAGAAAGGGAGAGGGAGAGGAGATGGACAGTGACCTAAATAGTTAGAGAGAAATAGAGAGACATTGTGAATCCCAGTTGTTGTTGGCCGAGAGGAGTCGGGGTGATTTATAATTAATGATAAAAGGTTTGCAGACTGCTAAGTATGCAAGGCCGGGGAGCTGTGTGGATCTCTACAGTACAGTACCCAAAGCTCAGCTTTTTCATCAGGGAAGAAATGTTTGACTTTCTCCCTCCTGCTCTCTTGCTTCTATCTCTTTCTCTCTCTCCGACACTTTCTCTATCTCTTGTTCTCTATCTTGCTTTTTCTCTCTCTCGCTCGCTCGCTCTCGCTCTCTCTCTCGCTCTCTCTCTCTCTCGCTCTCTCTAATTCTATCCCCTCAAAGCTTCACTTCAATTACTGTCTTTTCAAGGTGTCTAATTTAGCCAACATCTGAATGTTTCATATTTCCCCTGGTTTCTTCCCAAACCTTTTATCTGGTACTTCACTTGTAGTTATTTGAGTTGTTGCTAATTTTGCTAATGTATGTGACGTTTTGAATCTAGCCGACTTAATTATTAATTTTACTCTGGTAATAAACTGTAAACCCTTGACAAGCGTTGTACTCAGAGTCTGTGCACAGGTTTACTGGTTCAACTGCCCAGAATAGATAGATGGCTTTGGAGGATACATAATCAAAAGAAAGGTACATGCTAATAAAACATTTAACAATAATTTTAAAAGTTGTATTGTCACATACACCGCATAGGTGCAGAGAAATGTGTTGTTTTACAGTGTTGGGAACTGACTTTTATCCCTTAGCTTCTACGGCGCTAAACCCCCTAGATGCACATCGCCTAGTCTAACCTTCTGGTGGCTAGACCCTCCTAGACACACAACAATGTCTAGTCTAACCTTCTGGTGGCTAAACCTCCTAGGCATATAACAATGTGTAGTCTAACATTCTGGTGGCTAAACCCCCTAGGCATATAGTGCCTAGTCTAAC